GGCGCCGCCCCCTGGCGCGCGGACCGCGCGCCACGGCGCGGGGGCCCGCGCAGATCCGAGGCGGTCCGCGCGGAGCGCCACAAGCTTGCCGTCGCTCGGACGCCCATTTCCCGTGCACGTTTCGGTCTCGTGCGTGTTTTTTGTTTTGCTCGATGGTCCAGGAGGCTCCTCGATGGGTCTCGCCGGGAAAAAATGCACGCGTCCGAGCGATGCCAAGGCCACAGGAGGATGACAAATGCTGCGGGGTCCACGGGAGCGACCCCGCTGCCCCGCGGCCGCCCGCCGTGGCGCGCCAAAAAAGAGCATATTTATATGCCGCTCCTCCAGGAAGAAAAAATCCGAGGGGGCACACGAAGAACGACCCTGCTGCCGCGCGGCCGCCCGCTGCCCCTCCCACGCCCCAACCTCAGGTCGGGAGTGTCCCCCGACGGGCAGATTCTGGAATGAAAATCAAGCATACACCCAAAACGAGCTCAACAAATGCTCCAAAATACTCAGAAAATAGTCCCCAGCCTATCTTTTGCCTATTTTTGGATATTCCCCCTGTAGAGGGTCAGGTCCGACTTAACCCTAACCCAGTATAGCATCTTTCCTGCATCCACCTCCTGCCGAATGGCCTCGGTGATGCGAGCCCCTGGTTCCCTCCTCCGGGGGCTGCGACCCTCGGCAGGCCTCCCCCCCGCCAGCGCCAGGGGGTGCAAGACTGATCCTGGCAAAGGGCCCAGCCGTGCTTTTTTGTCGTGAGACCGCGACGATGCCAAACACCTTGCACGCGGCTCGGGATGCTAGCCGGAGAAGCTACCCCTCTGGGTTCGGGCGGCGACAGACTGTGCGCAGCATCGCGAAAACATCGCGAGCATCGCGAAACAAGTGAGAAGGAGGAGGAGGACCAAAAACGTGTGAAAGGTGCGCCAAGCCCTTCCACTAGGGGCTCTGGCGGAGCTCCCCACGGGGGCCACGAAGCGTGTGAGAGAGGTGTGCCGAGATGGGTGCGGAAGCGCCGGGCCTCTGATGGAACTCCCTATGGCCACGACACGCTCGAGGGGTGTACAGCAAAGGGCGCGGAGGCGCCGTGCGAACCCTGCCGCTGGGGCCGTCTGTTGAGCTCCCTAAAGGGCAAAGGTGTGCCCAAGGCTTAGCGGGCCCCGGAAACGGCAGGGCCGTTTTTTCACCGTTTTCGGCAAAACGGGAAAAACGGCCCTGCCGTTTCCAGGGCCCGCTAAGCCTTGGCCCTGCCGTTTCCGGGGCCCTTAAGCCTTGGGGTTAAAAATGCCTCTGAAATTGGAAACGGCAAAAAAACGGCGCGCTGAAACAACAAAAAAAACGGCTCCAAAAGTGGAACCGGGGCCGGAACCGGCCAAAAAACGGCGACGGAACCGGTAAAAAAACGGCGTCGGAACCGGCAAAAAACAGCAAAACGGAACCGGTAAAAAAACGGCCCTGTCGTTTCCAGGGCCCACTGAGGCCCAAGGGCGTGTAGTGGCGCCATGCGAACCCTGCCACTGAGGCCTTCGGTGGAGCCCCCTCACGAGGCCACGAGACGTGCGAGGGGTGCGTCGAAGCGGGCGCGGGCGCGCCATGCGGACCCTGCCCAGTGGGGCCTTCGGTGGGGCTCCCTATGGGGCAAGGATACGTGTGGTGTGTGTGCGTGTGCCGAAATTTACCAGCCTCGAACGTATCCCTATCCCTAAGATTGACACGCCAAAAGGCGATGACAATCTTAGGGATTCGCCCTCAGAAAATAAGGGAATCCCCAAGGTTGGCATCGTGATGAGGAGATGCCCAGCATAGGGATAGGGATATGTTCCAGGCTGGTAAGAAATGGGAGTGATGGCGCCATGCAAAACCCTGCCACTGGGGCCTTCGGTGAAGCCCCACATGGGGCCACGATGCGTATGACGGGTGTGCCGAAATGGGCGCGGTGGCGCATGCCTGCCGTGGATCTCCCGAGGGGACCACGATACGTGTGAGGAGTGTGCCGAAGTGGGCGCGGTGACGCCCTATGGACCCTGCCGCTGGGGCCCTCGGTGGCGCCCCCCGTGGGGCCACGAGACGCGTTACGGATGTGCAGTCGTGGGTTCGGTTGCGCTGTCCGAGTCAACGAAGCCACAGACCACGCAGCGGCGGACGAAAGGCTGCACGCTCTGGAGGTTTCGGCTCCGGTACCCAGGGCAGGTGCCCGTCAGCAAAGCTTGGGCCAGATGGCGTCCAGCCGTGCTCCTTTCCCCAACCACCGCTCGGCAATTGATGCATCGATTACTCGGTGTAATCACAAACGCAAGACTGTGGAGTTTGAGTTTCCGCCGCCTGTGCGAGCTTAAAGCTTGTCGCGTCGCAAAACACATCCCGCATGGCGCCATTGGTGCCCTGGACCGTCCAGGAGTCAAAATGTGATGCTCGGTTTCCGTCGCGGTGTCCCTTGGAAGGAACACATGTGTTGCTGTGCCCCGGGCCCCTCGTCATGGTTCCCACCGTCGCAGTCGTAACAACTTTGATTGTTTGCACCGTTGTCTGCGCAGACTTCCACCTGTACATCGCACAGCATGGAGGAGGAGAAGGAGGAAGTGGAGGAGGAGGTCGTCGTCGTCGTCGATGTCGATGTCGTCAGTGCATCCCTCCCCGTCCTCATCCTACTTCTCGTCCGCCTCCTCCTCCTCCTCCTCCTCCTCCTCCTCCTCCTCCTCCTCCTCCTCCTCCGCCTCAAAAGCACGCCGCCGCGACAGTAGAAGTGCAGAAACACGCACGACGGGTAGGCGCGCCTGCCCGACCCCGAATGCTGGGCCATCGTGCGCTGCGCCATGAATATCCTTCCGTCCCTCCCCCTCCCCTCTCTCAATCCATCCATCCATCCACCCATCGCTCCCATCCAGCCATCCTCTCCCCTCCCCTCTCTCCATCCATCCCCTCCCCTCACCTCTCTCCATCCATCTCCCTATACTCTATCCATTCATCCATCCATCCATCCATCCGTCCGTCCGTCCGTCCATCCATCCATCAATACATCCCCTCTCCTCCGACGCGGTAGGTTATTCGTGGAGCGGGCTCCCTGGGATCCCGACCCCTTCCCCGTGGACCGCGTTTCCACCCCGGCCCCGAGTCGTTCTGAGGGACGGCCCTTGGGCTGGCGAACGGCAACGGCTCCAAAAAAGGCCGAAAACGCAGAAAAACCTGTCGTCACCACCGTCATGCAGGATCACGCGAAAATTGCCCCAGGCAGGAGGAACCTCTGGAGCGAGGCATTCTGATCACCGCAGGCGATGTGGCAGTAGCCGCCTGCGTGCTTGGGTTTGCCCCCCCTCGCTCCCCTGAAAGGCCGCGCATCGGAGGTCACTCTGGCGGCGCAGCCGAGGCCTCGCGTTGCGGAGCCGGAGAGCAAAGTCCGCATCGACGTCACGCGGGTCGGACGACCCCCATGGGCGTGACGCTGTTGAAGGAGTATCACGCTGTCGTACACAAAGCGAACGAGTAACACGACAAACTCGAAAAAACGACGCGCGCGCATCTTTGATACTTTTGATCCATCCCGAAAGCGAGTCGGGAGGGAAGGCCGCGGCGAATCTCCTGTTAGGTAGCGACATCCGAACCCTACCCCAACCAGCCATCGACTCTCCTGAATCATTGGGAGGTGAGGGTAAGGTTTGGATTTCGCCACGTGTTCGGCGAATTCCGAACCCTACCCCTGCCGCCCATCGAGTTGCCTGAATCATTGATCGGCGAGGGTCGTAACAGGGGATATGGCAAGCCCTTTACCAGGCTTTGGGAGGTTCCCAGCTGAACCACAGAGTTGGGCCCCAACCTTGGGCTATCCGACGGGTGGGGCGTCCATTCTCGATAGAGGTGCGTCCGAATATCCACCTTGGAATGCTTCCCAGGGTTTCCCCCCTTTTCTTCTCCGAGAGGCTAAACTGCTCCGGCGGAACTCGGGGGGGATCGGGGGAGAAACATCGCCTGCGAGGTAGGACTCGGACTTCGCCGCCGACCTGCACCTGCACAACCCAACCGGAGGGTCTCCCCCCTCCCGCCCCCCTCCCCCCGCCGGCCTCCCAGAGCCGCGACAGGCCTAGGGCGCTGCCAGGGGGCAGGGACTTCAACTCGGCCCTGTTGGCGTACGGCACGCCCTCGCGGTGCCCAGCGGCCGTCGTCGTCGTCGTCGTCGTCGTCGTCGTCGTCGTCGTCGTCGTCGTCGAAGTCGTCGTCGTCGTCGTCGAAGGGTGGTCTGGGTCGTCGTGGCAGCCGTGGCCGTGGCCGCGGTCGTCATCGGAGCCGTGGCCGCGCCCGTGGCCGACGTCGCTGCCGAGGGCGTGGCCGTCCCTCCAGCCGAAGAACGCAAAAGGGAGGGGAGAGGGTCGGGGACGTCCAAGCGAGGAACGTCCAAGAGGTGGAAACAGCCGAGGTCGATTGAAGGGGACACGCGAGAGGACACAAGACCCTTCCGAGGGCCAGGTTGCCACAGACATGCAGAAGGCCTGGGTCGCGAACACACAGGATACAAGGGAACCCTTGATTTGGCAGCTTCGACCTACTAGTTCACCTCGACTTTATCCACCCCCTGGTTATCACCCTCCTCTACGCCACGAAAATATATAGACAAACACCCTCCGATTAATTCTGCGTGTACCTTCAGGGAGAACGGCGGTGTTGACCAAAACCGACAGCGTCCGCTGTTGGGCAGGCGGCCGTTCGCCTGCAAAGAACAACGCTCGAGGCGGCGCGGACAGCAAGTCCCGTCGCAGCGGACATGAACTGCTGTCGGGCATCGTACCCATTCTCTCCAAACCGATTTCGACCGTCCCGAGGAAGGGCGAGGGGATGGAAAGAACCCACTTTAGTAAAACGTGGTTTAGTGAAAACGACCTCGGGCCCAAACCTGGCGGGCGCAAGCCTGGAAAATGACGGCCGCGGCACCGACTCGAGAACCGAAAACGGACAATTCACTAATCGACGTGTCAGGGTGGGAAGTCTGTCCACCCCCGATGGGGCGTTGGCAAAACTAGGTTTATGGGAACCTGGTTTAGTGATGTGTACTGTGGGACGCCCCCCCCCGCCCCGTTCCTCTAACCGGAACTGCCGTCACCCAAAAAAACACCAGCTACGGCAGGCCTGGTTTAGTGATTCTGGCCAATTCAAGGGCTCCGGCGGCTCTGGGGTCCTACCACTAACTGGGTCCCTTTACCTGGGGTCCTGGCTACACCCAGAGATCCGATGTCGTGATTTTCTCACTGCGGGGTTCCCCGAAGTCTCGACCCACTCCCCAGGACCGGCGTTTCATCCTGAGTCGTTTCTTGACGGTCTCAGGGCCCGGCGAGAGCCGCTAGAGGCCGAAAATCGAGAAAAACCTCCGTCTTGATTTTTTCAATGCGTTGGATGTCTGGGTGTACCCGGCCCGAGAAAGGGCCAGGCCAGGGGAGGGGTGCCCTGACAAAAGGGCGAGCGGCGGGCGCTACATGCGCCGTGCGCCGGTAAAATGCTCGGGCCGACCCCGACGTCGTAATTCTTGTCACTGCGTCGACCCCCAGAGGTCTCCACCCATTCCCCGGGACGGGTTTTTCATCCTGAGTCGTTGACGGTTCCAAGGCCCGGCGAGGGCCCCCAAAGGCGCCAGCGTCGGCGGCCGAGGTCGCCAGAAGTTAGTGGCCCACTTAAGGAGGTCAAGCAGAAATGGGGTGGTGCAATAGATATCGTGCAATATTGGATCGCAAATGTATTGCACAGGAGAGCATGTGTATTGCACTGAGTTGCAAATAATGCATACTGCACGCGACAATATACAGCAAGACATTTGCGCCACGGACTGTGCTGCACACCGCGCATGTATGGCACGTCCCCAATGTATGTATGTATATATGTATACACACACTAGAACCATCGCGCGCGCTTCGCGCGCGCTCAGGTTCTAGCAGGCCCCAGGCCTTGACGAATTCACTGCTCCACTGAAGTAGTGGATCACAGTCACGCATGCCAATCTGCATTCCGAAAGGCCTTCAAAGAAAATGACTGTGCAGGGGGGCGGAGGCCGTATGAATCGGGTTCCCAGATAGTCTTCTGGGAGCATGGGTTTGGGGCGTCTTGGGGAGCCTGTTGGGGCGTGCCGTCGTCGTCGTCGTCGTCGTCGTCGTCGTCGTCGTCGTCGTCGTCGTCGTCGTCGTCGTCGAAGGGTGGTTGGGGTCGTCGTGGCAGCCGTGGCCGTGGCCGCGGTCGTCATCGGAGCCGTGGTCGCGCCCATGGCCGACGTCATCGTCGCCTACTGGGGACCGCCGTCGTCGAAGTCGTCGTCGTCGTCGTCGTCGTCGGCGCCGTCGCCGTCGCCGTCGCCGTCGCCGTCGCCGTCGCCGTCGCCGTCGCCGTCGCCGTCGTCGTCGTCGTCGTCGTCGTCGTCGTCGTCGTCGTCGTCGTCGTCGTCGTCGTCGTCGTCGTCGTCGTCGTCGTCGTCGTCTTCGTCGTTTCGTCGTCGTCGTCGCCGATTCAAGAGGGCACTTGGGGCAGCGAAACAATCTGCGGAGGGCCGCGAGAGGGCGATCAGTTATGTTCCCAATCAACTTGCCAGACAGCTCGCCTGTAACATGATGGTACTTCGAAACCTCCGGAGACTCGCGGGCCCATGATGAACCATGTCCCTGGAAGGTTTTCTGGGGATATGATTTCTTTGGGTGTGTTGGGGGGCCTCTTGGGCGTTCCCTGGGAGCCCCTTGGGGGTCTCTTGGGGCTTCCTGGGGGCCTCTTGGGCGCCTCACGGGGCTTCGTGGGAACCTCTTGGTGGCCTCCGGGGGCCTACAGGCGGCCTCTATGGCCAGAGGCCTCGAAATATCGGTTGGCGGTCCCCCTCTGGGCCCTCTCTTGGGGAGCTCTTGGGGCACAGTTGGGTTGTCAGGGGAGCCTCCTGGGCCGTCTTTTTCTTTTTTCTCGGTGGCGAGATCTGAATCTGAACGCAGGATCCGAATCCGCAAAAAACGCAGCGGATGCTTATGCAGCCGTCAACCAGCAGATGCAATTCAATAAAGAGCTGTATTTGACTTCAGAGATATGCGCAGCTGACACTCGGGGGAGGGAGTAGACGCTTCCTCGTGGTCATCCTCGCCCAAGAGTCCGCCGACGGGGAACCCGGTACGATCGAGATGCTTGACGTAGAAATTCAAATACCGGATTCCCTGCTGCGTCTTCCCATGGACAACCTTCATTTGAACTCCGTTAGACAGCCCGTGGAAACTCATCCATTTGGACTCTGCGCCACTGTCGGGGTCGTCTGCACGGAAAATGAAACCACCAGGCTGCAAAGCACTTGGCCACTTTCCAGTTACGTTAATGTTTAAGAAGTACGTGTCCGCACAGAGATCACCCAACGTATGCGCAACTGCCTGAACGTGGAGCAATGTGTTTTCAATGCTCTCCCGCCTCGGGATACGAACCAAAACATGCTTGCCAGGCTGCATCAAGTCAAACCGCTCTCCATGAATGTTTCGCAAGTGGGGGTCGCCTACTGCACTCAGGGCTTTGTTCGACGTCGCCAAGTTTGTGTCATCGGCAATTGTAACAAGCGCGGGATAAGCTTCGACCCAACCAGACAGGCCTGCGAGATCCTGCGTGAGTAGAATTATCAGAGTTCCAGTGGTCGGAAGAGCCGGGAAAGAGAATACAGGAATGTATACGTAAACCACACTTGTGCCGTCAACATTTACAGTCGTCGCGTAGGCCCCTGAATTTGCGAAAGCCGCTACGACCAAACCAGACTCCGTGATTGTGGACACGACCTGGGTTGCCATGGCACTCACCATGGCCGTCGCCTCTTGGAGTCGTTTCACCAGCAATGGTGAGCCACCAGGTGCTCGGGCTATGTTCACACCGATCCACTGGTCGTACCGGCTCACGTTGGCCCTGCTGCTGTCGGGCACTGCAGTAGTCTGGAGCATCTGCACGTCGCTCTGGAGAGTGGTGTCGATGGCTCGCAAGCTGTGGGGCTGGCACTCTGCGAACCCACGATCGGTCCACCCGTGGCCTGCTCCGAACGAGGCGGCCAAACAGGTGACAAAAAGACCTCCAACACGCTTCATCTCAATTTGAGAAGTGTCAGAGATGTAGATAACTACAGAATACGTAGAAGATTGTGTAGAATGAGATGCGCGAACAAGTTCAATGTCGGAACTGTCGCCGAGGCTACCAAGCTTGAGCTTGAGCCAAAATCGCTACCCTCTTCGGGGGCCTCGTGGCCGTCTTGGGGCCCTCTTCGGGGCCTCGTGGCCCGTCTTGGAGCGATCTGAAGGGCCTCCGAGGCCGTGAGGGAGCGCTGGGAAGCGGGGAAAGCGAGAACGCCTAAATCCTTCAAAAAACCATCGGAAAATGATTGAATCTTGCCTTCCAGGGCCCTCTTGGGGAGCCTCTTGAGTCCGTCCTGAAGCGTGTTGGAGTCCTCGTCGGCCGTCTTGAGGGCATCTTGGGCGTCTTCGGGGCCTCGTGGGACCGTCTTGGGTCCTCTCGGTCTCGGGACCCCCTTAGCCTGTCGTGGCCTGCTTCGGGGCGGGCTCGGGCCGCCACGGGAGCTCTGGACCCCCCTCCCGCAACCCCTGGTGGGCACCGATGGCCCGCCCCCCCCCCGGGCCTACTCCGAGATAGGGAATCATGTTCCCGGGAAGCTTTCCGGGAACATGATTCGCTCGGCTCTCTCAGAGGGGGGCCTCTTGGGGCTTACCCAGGGGCGCCTTTTGGCCTTGTCGGCAAGCCTATTGGAAACATGGTTGGGGCGATGGGCGGAAGCCCAAGGAATCATGTTCCCGGAAAGCTATCTGGGAAACACGATTTACCGAAGTGTCTTGGGGGCCCGCAGGTGGCTTCCCTGGGGGTCCCTTGGGGGCCTATTGGGGCTTCCGGGGGCCTCTTTGGAGCCTCACGGGGCTTCTTGGGAGACTCTTGATGGCCTCCGGGGGCGTTCTAGGAGCCTCTCAGGCTGGGGACCTCGAAATGTCGCGTTCTTTGGGCCCTCTTGGGTCGTTCTTGGGGCTCTCTTGGGGTGCTCTCGAGGCCCTCTTGACTTATCTGGGGAGCCTCCTGGGCCGTCTCTGGGCCTTCGTGGGAGCCTCTTCGGCCGTCTTGTCTTGGAGCGATGTGAAGGGCCTCTGACGCGGTCCGGGACCGTGGGAAGGCGGAATATGGGAGAGCGCAAGAATGCTTCAAACACTATTGGAAAATCTATGATTTTCGGCTTCTGGGGCCCTTTGGAGGGGCCTCTGGAAGCGCTCTGAGGGCGTTTTGGCGGCGTCGTCGGCCGTCCTGGGGCCTCTGGGGGCTGTCTTTGGGCGTCCTGGGAACCCGGAAATCATGTTCCCGGAAAGGCTTCCGGGAACATGATTTCCAACGAGGCCCTCTTGGGCCTCCCTGAGGCCGTCCGGGGGGCCTCCTGGGCCGGCTTCGGGGCCTCTTGGGCCGTCTTGGGGGGTTCCGTGAGCCGATCTTTTTGGGCCGTCTTGGGCCCTCTTGGGTCTCTCTTGGGATGTCTTGGGGCTCCTCGGGGGCGTCTGGGGTACTCTGAAGACGAAGCAAGCGAGCATGCTGAACATGTACGTTTTACAAAGGGAATGGACCGATGTTTGCTTCTTGAAGGCCCTCTCGGCGCCCTCTTCGGCCATATTCAAGCCATCTCGGGCCCTCTGGGGCCTCGCTGAGGCTGTCCTGGGGCCCAGTAGGGGGCCCTGGGAGCCCGGACGTCATGTTCCCGGAGAGGGTTGGGAACATGATTTCGAACAGGGCCCTCTTGGGCCTCCCTGAGGCCGTCTTGGGGCCTCCTGGGCCGGCTTCGGGGCCTCTTGGGCCGTTTTGGGGGGTTCCGTGAGCCCCACAGGCCGACCCTTTTGGGCCGTCTGGGTGCCCCTTTGTGTCTCTCTTGGGCTGTCTTGGGGCTCGTCGGGGGCGTCTGGGGCACTCTGAAGACGAAGCCAGCGAGCATGCTGAAAACGCACGTTTAAGAAGGGAATGGGCAGATTTCTGCCTCTTGAAGGCCCTCTCGGGGCCCTCTTCGGCCATCTTCAAGCCATCTTGGGTCTCTCTTGGGCTGTGTTGGGGCTCCGCGGGGGCGTCTGGGGCACTGCGAAGACGAAGCCAGCGAGTATGCCGAAAATGCATGTTTTACAAAAAAGAAATGGGCCGATGTTTGCCTCTTGAAGGCCCTCTTGGGGCCCTCACGGGGCGCTCTTAGGCGTCTACGGGGCCTCTTCAAGCTTTCTTGACCATCTGTACGGCCCGCGTGGCCTGTCGTGGGCAATTTGGAAGCGGCCTGGGGCAGTCCCCGGGGTCTGTGACCCCCCAAAGGTTCTGGGGGGCGGCCATAGGGGATGACGGCACCGATATTGGCCCCCACCCCGGCCTACACACACAACACATACATATACACACATATATATACATATATATATAAATATAAAAATGTAGATGTGTGTATATATGAAATAATTCTAAAATTATACTATATCATACAATACGATATCACATCACCTACTATCATATAATGGAATGTAATATACAATAAATTTATATAATAGAACAAAAAGAAGTAATTACATTAAATTAAATATATTCTATTATAGTATACTGTAGACAGTAATATAATATGGCATGGCAAACTAACATACAGTATAATGCAATATAAACTAGAACTTATCATATGGTACACTAGCATATCGTAGACTGTAAAGTAATATATCGTAGCACAATGTAATTTAATTGACTAGAACCTGATGAACACATGCTATTATATAGCATAGCGTTCTATAATATATACTATACGTATAACAAACTATGCTATACTGTAGTGTATATTATCATACAATGTACCATGTTATAATACAAGATAGTCTTATCTACTCTTATATAAGAAAATATAGCGACTACTACACATATACTGAATTACGCAATACTAGACCATTATATAATGTATTATGATATAGTATGATATCACCTACTATGACATGATATAGTATGATATGATACACGATGGTATGAAACAGTAAAATGATATAATCCCACCAGCCCTTTGGGCGTGAGTGGTTTAGAAAGCTTTCTCTGTTCTCAACCCCCCAACCCCCCTTCTTCCCCTTCGGGGAGGGGTTTACCCCTCCCCCTACCCCCTCACCTGGACCCGGAGAGGGCGGGCCGAGTGGTGCCAAGGGGGTCTTTTTCGACTCCTGGGAGGGCAAGAAAAAACGACGACCCTCACGAGGATTCTGGCCCCGAGGGGGGGGGGCACAGTTTGGCCCCTCTGCGCTTCTTTGAAGCCAAAAACATTGATTTCACTACGGTTTTGGCCCCATTTTGGCCTCCTGAGGGAGCCGCGCTTCTCTTCCTCCATAGCAAAACCATTGAGTTTACTAAGGTTTTGGGCTCATTTTGTCCTTCTCAGGGGGCAGCGCTTCTTTGCGCTTCTGAGGAGGTCGCAAAAGGCCCCAAGATGGCCCCAAGAGGCCCCCAGGAGCCTCCCAAGAGGCCTCCAAGAGGCCCCCAAGAGGCCCCCAAGAGGCCCCAAGAGGCCCCCAAGAGGAGGCAAGAGGCCCCAAGAGGCCCCAAGAGGCCCCCAAGAGGCCCCCAAGAGGCCCCCAAGAGGCCCCCAAGAGGCCCCAAGAAGCTCCAAGAGGCCCCCAAGAGGCCCCACGAGGAGCCCGAACGACTCACACCAGGACGAGGGGCCCGAACGACTCACACCACGAAGAGCCCGAACGACTCACACCACAAGGAGGGGCCCGAACGACTCACACCAGGACGAGGCGCCCGAACGACTCACACCACGAGGAGCCCGAACGACTCACACCACGACGCGGGCCCCGAACGACTCACACCACGAGGAGCCCGAACGAGTCACACCAGGAGGAGGGGCCCGAACGACTCACACCAGGATGAGGGGCCCGAACAACTCACACCACGAGAAGCCCGAACGACTCACACCAGGACGAAGAGCCCGAACGACTCACACCACGAAGAGCCCGAACGACTCACACCAGGAAGAAGGGCCCGAACGACTCACACCAGGACGAGAAACCCCAAACGACTCAAATCACGAGGAGCGCTTTCTCTCCCTCCTCCTCCGCCTCGTCCTTCTCCCGCTCCCCCCACAAGGAGGATGTACAAGGAGGCGGGAGGAAGGAGGAACAGGGGAGATATGCGGGGCCAAACGGACACACGCCTGAAAAACACGACTGTCGGCATGCTTCGCATGAGTCGCTGTTGTGAGATGGGCTGGTGGGGATACGCGAAGCGTAAATAATATAATATGATGTAATACGTGGTAATGTACTATAATATAATACATCGTAATATAGTAGCATAGACTATAATTTGGTGCGCCCGATCATACCACAACGCAGAAGGGTCGGGGAAAATACAAAAACATCACCAAAAAAAACCTGCGTGATAAACAAATATGCGGTATTATTAATAATGCATAGGATTAAATATAATTGAGGTTCTTATATTATAAATACCAATAGTAGTATTTATTAGCATATATAATTATGGATACCATTGATCATAAATTATGAATGATAGTGAAATACGATTCTGCCATTGCAGCATTACTATTCATACAAACCTGGATCATGCAACACACGAAAAGATCTCATTCTACTTACGATAGTGGGACGCATGGCACCACCGATAGCATGGCGACAAACTTAAGGCTCCCGAGCCCACATCTGGAGCCTCAAAGCCCCATGGGCGCCGCAAGAGCCACCCGAAGACCTCAATGCGTTTCACGCACGGACAGTTATGATATATGTCACAGGAATCATACAGCACCCCAACAAGCAACTACACACCTCCCAGGTGCGATTGCAAGGCTTACTTCTGTAAGGAAGCTCCACCCAAGGACGCAGACAGGTCAGGATAGACATCGCGTTGCCCAGGAACCCCCTAACCCTGAACCCATCGGCCAAGCACAGCGGCATTTGAACCGAAGGCCGCTACATCTTTGCCACCACAGCCTCAAGCTTTCAAACTTCCCTCTGATCGGCGGGATGGCGCAAGCCCCACGGAGTAACGATGCCCGTCTTAAGTGCAAACAACGACTTGGAAATTGCGACCACGGGATGGCGCCGGGTGGCGGCAAGTTGTTCTGATCTCACAGAGTGCATCTGGGAAAGGCGGGGCCCCGTTCGTCTCAGCCCTCTTTCCCACCCACCCCCTTCGCAGCCTTCAGACCCCAGAATTGGCCAACGTAGATGGCCTGCCCGCATCGCCGCCGCCGCCGCGACGCCACTGGCCCGCCCCTCTCAGTCGAGCGGGGAGGGTCCACGAGCAAGAAGACATCGATGGTAACATCAACGATGGAGAGGAACGATCTCAACACATCCGAACGCGCTCCCCAGCAAGATCTCTCTGAGCGCAACTCTGCGCGCCCAACCCCTGAGCGCCGCCGCCCGCAGCAGGCCCTAGCTGCGGCGGCAGAGGCGCCCACTGCCGCCAAACCCTGCCGAGGCCCTCAAGCCGCGCGGATCCTCTTGGCCCTGGCCTCCTTGGCTCGCTCGGCGAGCGACTTCTTCTTCCCGACGGCGGCCTCAGCTGGCGGCGCAGCCCCGGCCGCGGCAGGAGGCCCGCTCGTCGAACTGGCGGGGGTAGAGGCGACGTCTGCAGCCTTTCGGCGGGACGCCGAGGGGCGATGGTGAACGGGGGAAGGCCTCGCCACCGAAGACGCGGTTATAAGAAGCCCCCAGGGCCCGCTGGAACAGCACATCTGTGGTGAAGCTACTCCCCATTCGCCTGCCCTTCGGCGCGCCACCGAGCCTTCGCGGTGCCGTCGCGGTCGGCGACCGCGTCCGACGGCGCGACGCCGTCCTCCCACGCCTTCAAGTAGTCCTCCATCTGCTGGGTCAGCGTCACGCCGCTCGGCTTGAGCTCGAGCCGAAGCTGCTCGACGCTCTTCTTGGCCAGCGTGGGGTTGACCACGTCCTTCCACGCGACCTTCACTTTCCATATGAAGAATGTAAAGGCCACTGTCTCAACTCCAAGGTCGATGAGCTCCTTGGTTTTCTTCATCACCTCCGCTGATATCAAGGCGGGCTGACGATCGGCGTGAAGGACTTTGACCAAGCGCCTGTACTCCTTCATCAAAGACGTGAGCTTGCCGATGCCGCCGTACTTGGGATTGTTCGTCAATGTCTCAATCATCACGTCATTACTGAGTAATGACTCCCTCACTGGTGCATAATTGGGGCAAGACGCCTCAACCTGCTCGCAGAGGGACTCGAGGTCCTTGGTCCAGGTCTCTGCGAACCGACTTTGGATAGTCAGCGATTGTTCCAACAAGACAGGCCCGAGAGCTTTGGGATTGACGAACTGCTTTAAGATCGGAATGTGGGAAGCCACGTCCACGGACTCGCAGTCGCCGAGCTGCTTGGCATTCTCCTTCAGGAAGGCCTCGAATCCAGCATGGCGAGCCCGCGTGTCTTTCAAGACGTTAACCTGCGCCTGCGTGATCGCCCTCTTGTCGATCTTGGCATGGTTGAGTACCTCTTCGCCCAGGACGCGAGCCGCGGCCAGCGACTTCGCGAACGCGTGCGAGTTGGACAGGTAGAGCGCTTGCTGCAGGAGCACGGGATCTCCACATGACGTGGCCCACTTAACGACGTTGTTCACGATCGGGTCCGGGAGGACGCTGTCGGCCAGCGCCGCGGCCTTCTGCGCGTCTGCCCCTGCCAGAGAAAAATTATCGAGTGGGAACTCCTTGAAGATCTTCTGAACTTCGTCAGCCAAGGCCTGAACGATGGGGCGCCCGTGGGCATGCAGACACGATGCTATCTTCTGATGAAAAGCCCCATCAGGCGAGAACAATGGCGAAGACGCAAGATCCTGCATGGACTTCTTGAACTCCTCCCCGACGGCGTCGTTGCTCGAACGGAAGACAGCCTCGAAGTTTTTCTGCATCTTCTGGGCGTCCTCAATCGTGGCATCTTGCTTGGTGATCGTTGCACCGCACTCGACCAGGCACTCAATCAACTTCAGGAAGAAGTCGCAGGCTGTTAGGTCAGCGCTACTGCCGAAGACCACCTTGCACTGCACAAGCGTGGAAGTGAGGTCGAGCATCCTGTTTCGTGATGCGCTGGACTGCTCTACCCAAGTCGCCAAGGTCTCCAAGGTGGCCCCCCCGCTCATGACGGGCTTCAAGACGTCAACCCACGCGAGGCGCACGCTTGACGCCAGGTGCAAGAAGTGCTCGCAACGCTCGCCCTTCGAGAAGTCGGGCTTGAACGACGCCAGGCACAGCGGCACCTTCGCCTCGAAGTCCGAACGCAGCTCAAGTAACGCCGCGCGGAGCTCGCCGAGCGACGCGACGTTGGTTGCGCCGATGTGTGGCAATACGGCGTCCGCGGTCTCCTTGAACTTGTTCATGGGGGCTGCCAGAGATGCAATGATCCCCTGCGTATGCTCTGCTTTGGCCACGTGCGCCCGGAACGACTCGAGCAGCTTCCGCCCCCTGGGGAGGCCCATGAGCGCGCCCCCGAGCTGGGTTCCAGTCGTGGGCTTCGCGGCCTTGTCAAGCGTATCCACGGCCTCCTTCCCCAGCTCGACGAGCAGGTCCAGGTCGACATACGAGAACATGCACCAGCACACCCCGAAGGCGGTGAGGAACGACATGGCGTCATCCTCTAAGTCGAAGTCGCGGTCCTCGGCGAACAGCTCGTCGAAGGTCGAGTTCATGTCAGCGTCCTTCATCTTCAAAATTGTAGACATACGCTCGGACCACAAGCGTTCCTGCTCCTCTGAGACGTTCGCCAGGCCAGCCTTCCGCAACGACGCTGAACTCACTTGCACTAGCCACGCGCCAATCGATGAGACGCTACGGATGTCGAACTTGTGCCGCGCATAAGATACGTGCGGTGGAAACTGCAGGGTGGCCGTTGGCTCTAACTGGAGCTTCGTGACGGTCATGTCGTAAGTGTCCTTGAAGGAGTCGTCGTCCAAGCTCGTCTTGCTCGCCTGCGCGAGAGCGAAGGGCAAAGCGATCGGAGGGCAAGGCGAAACGGAGGAGGAGGAGGGAGGCGAAACAGAAGATCTGGAATGTGGATGAAAAAGAATGGAAGGCATCAGTGCCTGTTCCACGATGGCCATGATCGCTGTGAGCTTCTTCCTGGCGATCGTCAGTTTATCGATCTCCTCACTGTCGGGCTCCTTTTTCAAGCGGTTGTCGATGTCCTTGGCGATGTCCCTCAAGCTGCCGAGGATGGACTTGACCTCGGACCCCCACCAGCAAGCGTCTGTCGGCAGGGACGAAGAGAACTGCTCCTCGTACTCCTCAACCTTTTGAACCAAGGGCTTCTTCGGGCGGCCGCGGGGTCCTTGCCCTTGGTTGGATTTGCCCTTCGGCTTCGCCTTCGGCTTGGCCGCGGCCGCGTTGCTGGACTCCTCCCCGGCAATCGTCGGGCGCCCTCCATCGTCGGCCTGCTGCGGGGCGAGGCGCGCGCCCAGCATAGATCCACTGATGCCAGCCCCCTTCGCCCGTGCCGACGTCGGCGGCGACGTGGCGGGGTCGCCGTCGGAAGCCGCGAGCACGGCGCCCACGGCATCGCCCTGCAAGAACGTGCCGCCGAAGTCTGGGACGAACGAATCCGCAATGGCCCTCATGCGCGTGTCGACGTTGCCCCCCTCGTCCGCCACTTGGCCGAGCTTGATCTTCTTGTTGACGCTCTGCACGGAATTGAATTCTACTCGCTTGAACTTCTTGTCTGGGACGATAACGACCGTTGCGCCCCCGCTGTCGACAGACTTGTAGTGGCCCTTCTGCGTTTGAATTTTCCCGTCGTTCTCAGCCATGTATTCGTCGTAGTCCCACTCCTCGTACCCAGGCTTCTTCGTGACAGCCTGCAAGCTCTCCGTGACGTCCATCTGCGCAGCAGCCTGGGGGGAATGGATCACGCGACCCCGAGGAAGGGCCCCCCCGAGAAGCGCACGATAACGCGATCACGCGATCCCGAGGAGGGCTCCCCAAGAGTGAAGATTCCCCCGAAAGGCGCACGTGATCGCGCGATCCTGAGGGGAGCTCCCCCACCCCCACATCGGCCTCTCACTGGCCACCGCTGGGGCCACCCCACCTGGGAACCTCTTGAAACCCTCGAGGCCCGTCACGGGCCTGCCCATGGGGCCAAAGGCAGTCTCGGGGCCCTTAGGAAGGCTCATATGTAATCCCAAGATGGCGACGAGAGGGCGCCCAATGCGGCCACGCGAGAAGCCCCTCGCGCTCTCCCGAGCCCTCCTGGAGCCAAATGGGGCCCAAAAGATTACTTCTTGCGACCTCCAGAGAGCCCCGAGACGAGGAAACCCCACCGAAGGCCTCATCGGCAGGGTTCGCATTACGGCATCGGGTCATACTCCTCCTCCTCCTCCCCCTCCTCCTCCTCCTCCTCCTCCCCTCCTCCTCCTCCTCCTCCTCCTCCTCCTCCTCCTCCTCCTCCTCTCCTCCTCCTCCTCCTCCTCCTCCTCCTCCCCCCCGCCCCCCCCGCCCTCCCCCCCCCCCCCCCCCCCTCCTCCCCCACCTCCTCCTCCTCCTCCCGCGAGGACAAGAAAAAAGGCACCGACGCAGATCCAGAAGAGATCCCAATTAGAAGATTTGCCCAATAATTTTCGCAAACAACAGCCCCAAAGCCAGTCCAGCAGGGACCAAACGCAGCCCCGAGGCAAATCCAACAGAGACAAACATAAAGGCGTCAATCCACCGCCACCTCACGAGCATGAGGAGGAGGAGGAGGAAGAGGAGGAGGCCTCTTCCTCCTCCTCCTCCACCTCCTCCCCCGCCCTTCCCCCTCCTCCTGCACCTCCTCCTCCTCCTCCTCCCCCCGACGGATCTGACGCATTACAATGTCTGTGCCGTTTGCCAACCCACGCATCATCCTCCACGGACTCCCAGTCAACGTGGCCATTGCGACTGCCACCGCGATCGATGATGGCCTTGATCAGCGTCTTCTGCAAGCTGAGGTGCAGCTGGTGCCGGGCGTCGTCCCGGCCCAGGTTGTTAGCGTACACCGTCATCGTCAAGCCTTTGATGCCCCTGAGCCTGGAGGTGAAGATTCGCTGGCAGTAGAAGCAAAAATCCAGCGAGCCCTTCAGGGCTTGAGTGGGTTAGGTTGCCAGCTCTGATCAAGGCCCCGATTCTAAGGTTAACCCCCCCATGCCCTCTCCCCCAGGGCATGGAGCATCCAAGGTCAGCCAACGATGCGCGCAAAGGTTGACATCCACTCAAGAAAACGCTGTTTTAGTAACGGTGCCTGCCCGCCCAAAATACGACGCGGGCTTGCATTAGGGCCTAATACAAGCCCTCCGTGGCCAGATCGATGCCCTCCAAGATGACGCCCAGAGACCTCCCGCATCTATCCGCAGAACCCCAAGCCCCCTTCGCTTGCTCCATGGCCAACGACCGCGGCCTCAGAAACGGTCGCGCTTGAGACGGCTAGTCTAGACCAAACTTGGTCTGGACTAGCCGTCTCAAGTGCGACCGTTTCTGGTGCCACGATCGCGCCGCAACGGCTGTTGTTTGGGAATGGGCTGGCGGGGGTGCGCGAAGCGCAAAGACTTGCCTTGGGTCTCGCCGTTGGCCCCCGCCGGCTTGCCCCAGGACATATACACGGTCCGCCCGAAGTGCTTCTCGACTGGGTCTTCGTCATCGTCATGGAATACACAAATGAGGCACTTCTTGTGGGACGGCCTCCGCACCGCAGGGACTGGTTCGGGGTTGGCATCGGCCAGCGCCCGCTCCATCTCCTCCTCCCCGGCAGACGCGCGCGACGCAGCTCTCCTGGACCCGCCACTCCGCGCGCCATGTCTCGACATGCTCTGTCCTGGCCCGAGAGCCAAGCCCATCTGCGAGGGCTGCGAGGGCTCCCCCATGGCCCGGCGACGCAACTCGCAGGGCCGTCGGGGCTCGGCAAACTCAGCCAAAAAGGCTTGCTACAAACGCGATGGGGCCCAAGAGGATTCGGGCTCAACTGAACCAGGATGCAATCGAAAACGTTTAAGGCAACTCGCTATCGAACTGCCCACGTCATGGAACGATGCGTCTAAGCGACGCGCGCCCAGGCAAAGCGCCAAGACAATCCACAGAGACTGAGCCCAAGACGACCGACCAGCACCCAATCACAGGAGAGACTGAGAACAACCAGGCGCGGGCTCCACATCCCACGGCCCAGGCAGGGGACAAGCTGAACCCAAGACGACCGACGCGGACCCAAAGACCATCTGACCCGCGCCCAGGCGCGCGAGTTGAGACCCGCGCCCAGGCACGCGAGAGCGGACAAGCGGCCCAGGAGGCCCCATATAATAGAACATGCGAGTTTACATCAGAATTGGAGATTGGGGCAATCTCTTCTTTTCGGTTTCCGACGGCCCAAGACTCCCAAGAGGCCCCCAAGATGGCCCCCAAGGCCCCCAATACAAAACCCAGACGGCCGACCCGCGCACAAGCACGCGGCCGCATGCCCACGACCCAGGCACGGTCCGCAAAAAGGCATTGGGCGAGAAGCAAGGGGGAGGAGAGGGGGAGGAGAAATTGGGGAGGACGCTTGGCCCCCCCTGAACTCCCGAAACGATATGTCACTCCGTCTTATGATCGCGATCGCCTGGACAAGAAACGTCTAAGCGCTGAAAGCGGCTGCAAGCGGAGAACGCCGCGACATGCGGCGCCGAGAATGGAGCTGCGACCCCTCAGTCGCTGCTGGCCGAAACGTCGCTGGAATCGACAACATCTTCAGCGCCCCCCTCATCCGGGGCGCCACTGTCGCCCTGGGCTGCATACGGGCTCGGCTCATAGAATCGGCCGAACGTCGAAAGACTTGCGATCGCCCACGGGCCCAGGTGGAAGAGCGAATACGCATTGCCCGCCATGTTCGAGATCATGTCGAGGTAGCTGAAATCCTTGGTTTGGTCATTCCTGCGCTTCCACATCGTGGCGTCCCAGCCGATCATCGTGAAGAGCTCGATCGGCTCAACCGCCCTGACATGGACGACGCCACTGCTGCGGTACCGCACGATCATCGTCATGCTGCCAACCAATGTCGGGGGCCTCGATGACCACGGCGACGGCGCAACAGCATCACCAGTAACACTTTTCGGGCGGTAAGTGTCCTCGTCCAGGTGCCGCTTGATGGTCCGCTGCGTGCTCTGGTTCACGTCGAAGAACTCCATCTGGGTGCCGATCGCCATCGGGAAGAGGACGTGCGACATAACTGCGAGCTCGAACTCGCGAGGCAGCATTCCCGACCTATGGATGACATCGCCGCCAACGGGCGGCGCCGCATGGTCAAAAGGCCACTGAATGCCATTCGCCTGGAAGATCTCCCTGTGCTCGTGCTTCCAATTCGGATCATCCTTCTTCGACTTGCTCTCCCTGCCAACGCCGAAGTCGGACCACAGTGGGATCCCAGAGACTGTCGACATGCGCTTGAGAAACTCGTCGCTGGTTTCAATACACGGCCAGGTTTTCGGGTTGTCGGCGTCGCTGGCGTTGGGCAGCCTGCACGCCACCAGCACTCGATTGAAATGGTGAGCGATCTCATCCGGCGAACCTTTCATGTGCAGCATTCCAGTCCAATACGTCCGCACGCGCCGCGGGTAAGCCCCGAAGTCGCAGGAGTCAAGCGTGCCGTGGTGAGCCCAGTACCCCATCTTCTTCAGCTCGCTGGTAACCCAAGAAGCATCCGAATCCTGCTGAACGCCACCCTCCTGATTCAATTCCTTAACGCACTCCAAGTGAACGATAGTCGGCCAATGCTGCTTGATGACGCTGAGGGTCTCATTGAAACCGACGCCCGTCGCCTCGCGGCTCTCCTGGACGCAGCCAAGGTTGGCAGCCCGCCGGCACGACAACGGCGTCCTCGAAGTGCAAGGCGGCCCGGCGTCTAAAATGAAGCACCACGGCAATAGCTCCTCGGTGCCGCCGCGGGCGTCGTTGTCACTCGAAGGAGATTTGAGCTTCTTCACGTCCCCGACCAAGAAGCGAGGGCTGAACTGGTCCATGATGTGCTGCTGCTTCTCTGGGTTGAGCTCGCTGTACACCGTCGTGTCGAATACCACTTCGATTCCGAACTCCCTGTTCAACACGGTCTGCAGCGCCGAGTAGAAATGCGTCCCCACCCCGCTACCTGCGAACAAACTCCAGCGCGCGGCAATGCCCTCCGGGACCTTGGAAGCGAAGCTCCTCAAGCCGTTGATGCAATCGATTTCGACTTCAGGGCCGAGCTCCGTGAGCCAGCGGCGCACCATGTGCTCGGCCAGATTCCGAGGCTCAAACTCTGAGCACGCGCTCACGTGGGGTCGCAGCTTCCTCCGGGGCGTGGAGAAGGACTCCCCGATGATCTGCACGGCGTCCTCGTCGCCCTCGGCGCCAGCCTCCCGCTCCAGCGGGTCGTCGACCTGAGGGGCGGGGCGTCAAGTTCTGAGGCGCTGCCATTCACAGGGGGCCAACGCTTGCGAACTGTCTACATCGGGGGGGTCGCTCTCAATCGATCGTCGCTGCGGATACTTACCAATAGCAAACCAGAAATCTCTCAAACCTTAAATCCAGTCAGCACTTTTTATTCACATCGATATATTAAATCTTTTTAAAACCATCAAATACATTATTTACGAAAATCTCCGAAAATCCTCGGGGGATTCTGAACAGGCGAAACGCCTGAGACATCCTCGCAAACCGCGCGAACCAAAATCTCAGAAAATCCTCTGAGAAAAATGATTTATTAAATCAAGCAACTATTAAATAAAACAATTAAGATATTCAAAAACATTTTTGTATCATGCTTATATCACGCGCCAGCGCCTGCTAACCTCAAAAGACATCCCGCGCCATGATGCGATTCTCCTGGGAGGGGGCCCTGCTCCGACCCCCCCTGCCCCCCCCCCCTCCTCGCCCCTTCCCCCCTTGTCCAAGAGTTAGTGTTCAACGCCGCTCCTCCGCCTCCTCCTCCTCTTCATTCTCCTCATCATCCTGCATGTGAAACGTAACTCGTCCTCCTCTTCCTCCTCTTCCAGGTCCGCAATGTTTCGCGCGCGGCCTGAAAAGCCCAAGCCTTGCTGCGCAACCTCAGAAACATGCCGCCCAGTGGGGCGAGGAGGAGATTAAGGGATGGGATGAAGAGGGGGAGAAGCAGCGGCAGGAGGATAAGCACGATGAGGGACGGGCGGGTGGAGGAGGGGGGAGGGAAGGAAGAGCAGACGGAAATGGAGATGAACGCGCGAGTTGGGGAGCTAGCCAACGACCTGGCAGTGATCGTCATCGGCGCCGCCCTCCTCGTCCCCCATGCAGCTCTTGGAGTCGCCGAAGTCCGCGCCCAAGGCGTCGGCCAAGCTGCCGCCCACCGCCGCGATGGCGCCGACCGCGTCGTCGTCATCCCCGAGGACGCTGGGCGACGCTGGTTCGCGCTCGCAGGCGCCACGGACCGCCGAGGCTGGGGGCGCTGGGGCTGGCGCGCCGACCGAGGACTCGACAGCGAGCTGCTCGGTCTGGTTCTCCGACCCCGCATCCTCGCGGCCCTCGGGCTGCGGCGGCGACGGCGAGGCGGCAGCGGTCAGCGCCGGGGCCGACGCTCCGAGCTCGCCATCCTCATTGGCCACCGCGCTCTGCACCTTCCTCAAGGGTGGGAGGCCGCTCACCTGCGGCCGCACTGCCACGCACACAGGCGGTGCAAGTAACGCTTTAGTCAACTCCTCGAAGCTTGGCGGCTGACGATCGGCATCATCCTGCGGGTCTGTATGCGCCATTGCTATCGCAACGCCGCCTGGATCATCTCTGTGCTTGCGCAGCGCCGCCTTCTTCTTCTCTTGCCACTTCCTCACCCGGGCGATGGCGGTCTCGACAATAGCGTCGATGCCCTCCTCGGTGTAGGTCTTAGCGTCTGCTAGTGAGACCCTGATTTTGCCAAATGCCCCCTGCTCCTCTCCTCCGTCTGCAGCTGAGCTCTGCGCCTGAACTGACCCTGCGCCTGTGACGTCGCTCGCCCTCTGTCTCTTGTCCTGCGAAGTGTCTCCGCCATCCCCAGAGCCTCGAGATGGAGAGGTGGGATTCGCTTGCTTCCTGGCCCGCTTGGCCATATTGCCAAATCTGTTTGAAGCCGAATGGCTATGGACGATGGGGAGGAGTGCGCGCCACCGTCGGCCAAGTACAACGATGACTGGCACGATGGGTTCGATAGATACGCTTGGCGAGCAAGGAGCTGCGAGCTATTCGGTGCAATCTACTCGCAGCGCGCTGCATCCAGCCACGACTGCATTGCAATAGGCCGAGCGCGACTGAGCCTCTGTGGGCTTGCCTGGCGCGCGAGGCGGCAACGAGGCGCGAGGGGCGGCGACAGCGCGATGACCGTCGGAAAGCCGATCGACATCCAAGGGGCGCGCCGCAAGGACCAAGACGCATGCAACAACATGCGTTCCAAGCTGATACGTCTTGGAAGTGAATCGGGCCGTCTTGGACTTGCATGGCGTCTCCAACGCCTCAATCCCTATGGGCAGCGGGAGGCCCTGAAACTGTGGTGGCCCCGAGCCCTCGTGGTTTCACACACCTCATGGCCTTTTGGAGGCTCTCAATACCCCCCGAAGACCTCTCCCCCCCCCCCCCCCCCTCACGCCTGACACCAAGGCTCTGGGAGGCCCTGACACTGCGGGGGCCCCGGGCCCTTGGAGCTCCCGACGCTTGACCCCGGGCCTTGATATGCCCCGAGAAACCCTGAGGCTATGGAGAGTCCGAGTCCCGAGATCCCCTCGCGCCAGACGCCAGAGCCCAAGGGCCCTGAAAAGCCCAGAGGCTCTGGAGACCCATGGCCCCCGCGGCCTT